ACACCAGACTTCCAGTAATATCTGTAAGTGCCCCCTGATGAGACTCCAAAACCTAAAATGAAAAAAGAGAGAGATAAGACGAGAGAGGTCGAAAAAGAGATAGAGAGCTAAAGAAGAGGAGAGAGAGAGAGAGAGAGAATGAGAGAGGGAGATACTAAGAGGACCTCGTGCAGCTTAGCTCCAAAAACAGAAGAAAAGAAAAGAGAACTACATGGTTTTTGTTAATTATACTACTATGAACTCTTCTATCATTGTTTAGGTCTCCCTTCACGCTAAGCTTCATGGTGAACTCCACTTCATCTTCATCGGATGACAGGACGACAGACTTTCTACTTGTTGCCTTCCTTAGCCTCCCGTTTGTTATTGACACTTCGATAGAGACCCTGTTTGCTTTTGTAGGCAGGAGGAGCATCAGTTGTTTTCTGACCACCTTTATACGTCTCAGATTGTTTTGGGAATAACGGACGGTACAGCTCTTCATCACCTCCTCATCAAGGAGTCCAAGACAATTTCATACACTTGGTCCTCTCTCTGCATTCTCCCTCCTTTCTCATCTGATTCTGACTATCGTCGCTGCTTCATTGCTGCTGTCATCCCTGCACGACAGTTTCTTATTACCATACAATCGACTTTCAACTCCTCCAGGTTCCCTCAACCGTTTCCATCATTCATCGCTTGATTCCATGTTAGCTTCATCGTCAAGCATCCTCTTCCATACACATCTACTTTCAGTTCCGAGGTTGAAACAATGCAAACTGGGATGGGATCCTTGATGCGATACCTTTTCATGAAAAGCCTGCAGTGTTCCTTCTGAAGCATCTTTTCCACAGCCTTCTTTGTGAAATTGATAGTTCTCTTATCAGCTATCAAGTGCTTGTGGCAGCTATCATGAATCTCCTGGTCCCAAGCAGTGGCAAGGCATGGTTTGAGGTGACAGATGTCACAGTGGCGAGCTATGATGCCATCTTCCTCGTCCTCCTTGCTCTGTCCATAGCCCGGCGGCCTGTACACTATCTTGCCCTCACTAGGTTCGTACTCAGATGACTCTCTTGGGTATCCTTCTACTGTGAAGTTCAGCCTTGCTTGATTGTTTGCTCTCCGCTGTTCCGCTGCTAGACTCCTTCCTCTTCCCTTGTCTGTGCTTGGCAGTCCTTGACCTTTGACCACCTGCTGCAGTCCTCTTCTTACCAGTCTTCTTCCCTTGACAGGTTCCTTTCTTGTCATTGGTCTTCTTGCTTCTCTTCTTCTTACTATTAGCACCCAATTCACTATCAAAAACATGGCCCATCTTCTCCATGAAGAGTATTCGACTCGCTGACAGTGTTTCTGGAGGTGAAATTGGAGCGTGGTCTTTTAGGTTCTGGTGGCCCACCTATCACCTGGAGCCCTCGACTTGTTGAGCTTGAACTCGAAGCAAAGATTGCAGGTATCTTCTTCTAGACACAGAGGGTGCCCACTATACAAGATCCTGGTAGCATTGGCATACGCTTCTGCATCTGCACACTCACTATCCAACCAAGAACCAGGGAGTGGCATATTATTCCTTGTTTTTCGTTTTCGTTTGTCCGGACAGGATTTTTTGTGAGACTAACACATTTTCAAAATCTCTCCCCCCCACCCACTTTTTCAAAAAATAGTTCATGCCAACAAGATTGCTTGAATTCATGCCAACGAACCCAAATATATAGAAACAGAATGACCCCTTTCTTTTCATCAACTCGACAGCTGTAGTGACACTGCCAAACCAAGCGTCGCCTCCCACCCAACCTCCTTTCTCCAGCTTGCAGTTTGTCACTTGCCGTAGGACTTCTGCCGTGTGTGCTGGCATGTCCGATTCGTTTGGCAAAGACGTCTTCTCTCGTACATTGCCATCGTAGTCAGAGAAATTGTATTCCTTCTTCAGTTGCATTTCGGGTGACATGACAACGTCTTAGTGGATAAGACACCCGGTCATGCACTCTACTGCGTTCCTCAGCATTGTACCCAAAGGAACCGGTTTCCTTGGCTCGAAGCTGATGTTGGGTAAGCCACCTGTCTTGGACGTTTTCGGCCTCCACCCGGACATAGTCTCATCCATCATTGCCAGGACGTTCTTGAATAGTTGTACTCTCTTTTCATTGAAACTGTCAAGTGCATCTGAAAAGATTTCCCAAGGTTTCTCTCGCCTTTCTTTGAACCAATGCTCTTTGTCGCAGAACATATAAGGAGCGGCGGCAAGGAAGCACTTGAACCAAAGCTTCGGCATGTACTGTCCGAAGTTCGCGCGATCTCTTCTGCCACCACTCTTTCCATAGAGCCATAAGTTGTCCACACCCACATCTGCCTCCGTGGCTGCGGCAATCATCAATAAGTAGGCTTGTTTAATAATCCAGTCGGGATCAGGGGCGTCCGGATCATGGAACTTGACCTTTCCTTCTTTCACTTTGACATGATAGGGAGCATTGATGTCCGCAAAGAATTCGTCCATCTTCTTCGCGTGCCCTTCAACAGATGGAAAGAAGTGCTCAAAGAAAAGGGGAGCGAGTGGTTTATCATTTGCAATAGAACCAAAGTCAATGTCCTTCTTTAGCTCGACTTCCTCGGGGTATTTCATGTGGTCTTGGTCCGGCTGAATGTACTCGGTGTCACCAAGAATCGTCCAATCCACCTGTGTTGTACTGTCAATTTTCATTTCGAAAGCCCTGGCTTCTGCCTTTTGATCATCGTCTAAGGCTTGGAACTCCTCCACGCAAAGAGTATACGGTTTCTTTACCTCGGCAGGTAAACTGCCTGAGTTCTCAACCCCTTTAATGCTATTTCCTATTTCCTATTTCCTATTCCGGTGAAGCCAAAGTATAAGGATAGAGATTGTCATAAGCCAACAAAACTGAACATTGATGGTTCAATACAAGTTAGGGGTAGGAATAAATCATTAATATTTAAGGTTAGTGCAATCATCACAACAACACAATAAGCCAGCAGGAGCTGTAAAGGTTAGAGTTACAATAAGGGAATGGCAGCTGGTAAATTATAGAGTAGCGGGCGGCAACACACGACGTAGTCGGGTGTTGTCGCCAGGGCTAGCTTAATAAAAGAAGGTTGCAATGAGGGAATGAATGATACCGGGCGGCAACACACGACGTAGTCGGGTGTTGTCGCCAGGGCTAGCTTGAAAGATGGGTGCAATCCGAACATAATCCTCCTTCTTCTATCTGTCTTTCTGCCGAGGTATCGCAGCTCCCGCTGACTTATTCTTCTCTTTCTTTTTGGCTTCACCAAGTATGTTGTCGGGGTTTTCAGAGTCTGCTCCTTTCTCGTCAAAACATTCCTCAAGTGTTGTAATGACACCACGAGTGAGTCTCACTGTTTTGTGCTCAGCGGGGAAAAGATCGAAAGCAATTGTAAAGGTACCACTGATCTTCTTGCTTTTGACAGTTCCAAAGAGGATGGTGTTGTTGGAAAGCTTATGGACTGCTTTCTTTTGTTCTGGATTCAACAGGTGGAACAGTCCTTTCCTGATTGCTCTGCAGCGGATGCCAGGCGCAATCTTTGGCTGCCGAGTCTTCTTGGAGTGCCTGGAGGTGGTCATGGGGATGGGACTGGCTTTCTTTTTGCCTGAGGATGCTCTGTTTGCATTGATTGCTTGAATGGCAGCTACTGTAGCATCTGCATGTTCAGATGCACTTGGGGAAGCTCTGCTGTTGGGGCGGGCACTGGCGAATGCAGGAACATCTGTGGGAGAGGCTACAAGAGGAGCCTGCAGAAGACTGGATGGGGATGATCTATGTTCCTTGGCTGGGAGCTTGGGCATGGGTTCCTCCATGTCAGAGTCATCATCATCTTCTCCATACAAATCAAGGCCATCCTCATCATGGGTGACCCCTATTCCAGCTGCCTCTGCGCCATTGTCGCCACCTGGAGATGCCATGGCTTCCTCCGGTCAATGTAATGATGCCGATGTCAACCAACAACCTGCAAACCTGATGACTATAGACATGAGGATCGAACATGTTGCCCGGTCATTCAATCCCACGAGCGCGTGACTGAGCCCAAAAATACGATGGAAACAACAACAACCAACAACAAGGCCGACCATGGCCAAAAAACCAGGGCCGACACTATTTCTTTGCACGATCTACTTCTAACTACTATAGACAACAAGGTTTGATAGTGGAAGCGGCCATTATACGCCATTGTTTGATTATTCTAAGCAATTCTAGCAGGCGATTTGAGGTACTAGTTCCGGTACTGTTTTAGTATCTTGAGGGGCTCCACACGAGTAACCATTAGACACAGAGGGCACCCACTATACAAGATCCTGGTAGCATTGGCATACGCTTCTGCATCTGCACACTCACTATCTAACCAAGAACCAGGAAGTGGCATATTATTCCTTGTTTTTCGTTTTTGTTTGTCCGGACATGATTTTTTGTGAGACTGACACATTTTCAAAATCTCTCTCCCTCTCCCCATCCACTTTTTCAAAAAATAGTTCATGCCAACGAGATTGCTTGAATTTTATGCCAACGAACCCAAACGTATAGAAAAAGAATGACCCCAACCAGCCCCCAGCCCCAGTACTGCAACGACTATATTGATATCATACCAGCAGGAAGTATGTACTAGAGAGCAAAGATGGCATGCTACTATGCATGCAGTTTAACGACTACATCCGCAGTCCAAAAATAATGAGACATAAAATTGATTTCCTCCAGTATGGTAAGGACTAAAGCAACTGCAAGCAAAGTAGTCGACGGACAACATCCCAGATTCCGGAAGGCGCTAGCAAGGCGGGCCGCCAGGAAGGTGCCTCCTCCATTGAAGGTGTGTGTCAAAAAGCGACAGCGCTATCGCCCAGGAACTGTGGCTCTCAGAGAAATTCGAAGGTACCAGAAGTCAACCAATCTCCTAATCAGGAGACTGCCCTTTCAGCGTCTTGTTCGAGAGATAGCTTCTGATATTAGAAAAGACATCAGGTTCCAAGGGTCTGCAATGGAAGCTCTCCAGCAAGCATCAGAAGCCCATCTTGTGGACATGTTCCAATGTTCCAACCTTTGTGCTATCCATGCCATGAGAATCACCATCATGCCAAAAGACATCCAGCTAGCCAGGAGGATTCGAGGTGGAAGGTTTTAGGTACTATTCTAGACCTGAAAAATTAACGTATAAGATAATATGTGTTCTTCTTTGTTGCCTTCTTTCATGCATACCCATATGTCTTTTGTCAGTGCAGCCTTGACTGTTTTTTGGTTTGCATGAGGGCGAAATTGTTTTCTTTTCGTGCACTTTGTGACTGTGACAACGCCTCTTCTAAGACCGTTAACCTGTGGTTATAAATATATATAGGTATACATATATAGATAGTAGTAAACCTAGTCTGTGCAAGGATCGAATCATGCGCCTGTCGTCTCTGTCATGCCAACTCGGGTCACATACATTCTGCGCCCTGTTCGAACTCATTACTTAGGCACAACTCTGGGAGTTCACTCTGCCCCTTCTGTAGAGTGAAACTACAGAGCAAATTGATTGTTTGACAGAGTCTTTCGTTTCCAGTGTCGTCAGAAGTTCCACTTTGGACAGTGAAAGCAGACCCACCAAGTGAAAGAGAGCCTCTCACTGCCCGGAAAGACAGACGCAACGAATACCTTAGATTGAAAAAGGGTCTTCCGACACTCTTCTGAGGAAGAACGTTTTGGTTTCTCGAAAAACTTTTTGGTTTGTTGCCAAGATGGATGGTGGGAGAAGAAAGTCCCAACGGATCCAGAAGCAAAAATCTTGTGACCTTCCCCGTGAATTGCCCAAATCCTAGTTGTACCCATATTTGCAGAAACAAAAGTTCACTGCAGCGTCATGCCGATGCCAACCCAGAGTGCGGTAGGTTGGTGTCAACCAACCAATGGAACATTCTGATGTCGGGTAAGTTGCCGCTTTTGGTCCTGCCAAATGTGGTCTTGGAGAGCATCGTTGCCTTAGGGTCTGGTCTTGTTGTAGAGGAATTGACGAGCTGATACGTAGAATAACAAGGAATTAGGGAGTCTGCACACACAACAATTAACCGTCTTATTTTAGCAGGTTATGATGCCCACATGGTGCTTCCTCCCCTATCCTAGTCCATCAGTTGGAGTCCCCGTGCATGCTATTTTTCGGGGATGACAGGGATGTCATAATTCTGTGACGGGTGCAGATAGGGCAACAGATCCCGATCTTCGAATTTCGAGTCGTTACCCATCCGGGGGTTCTACCAATCAACTGTGACCTTCCCATGGGACGGCTCCTCCCGGCGTACTTGAGGGGGGTGTCCATCTTATTTTAGCATGGGGTATCCAATTCAGGAACGCAGTTGATGACTCCTGAAGTGTAGAAATGCACTGGAGATGCAGGTGAAGAGCGCGGGAATCATTTTTGCAAAATGTGAGATGGTGCACACAAATTGTGAGGCGAAGCAGGTAGCAACCATGACTGAGGGTCATGGTGGCGAGAACCCATTAGGGTTAGAGTTTACATGCTGCGGAGTGTGGAAACTCGGTCGAGGGGTTCACCAGGCGTGCTGCTGCTCAACACGAAGCCTACCTTCATAAATTGTTTTGAACCATGATTCAGAAACAGCGACAACTATATAGAAATATAGAGAAATCCAGCTACATTGTTCTAACAAGAACCCATGAATTCAGAGCAGGTTGAAACCTTTTCGACTACCTTTTACGTGCTACCCACTGCGATGGTAACTCAATACAGAAGCTTACTTCCATTATACTTCCTTAACTAATTTGATAGTTATACAAAATAAACGTTTGTTTCAATTATCTCACTTTGTTGAATTATTCTATTTTTCTTTAGGCCCTCCAAATTGAAGAATAGATTTTCAATGACTTGACTATGTGCGCTCAATGCCAAGTAAGGTGAAGTCTAAAGGATTCTAAGGAGGTTAAGCTGTCTGATACAGAACAGGCCAACGCCCACCTTGGGTACAAGATGGCTGTTGGCTTACAAGCCTCACAATTTATCATTGTCGATATCCAATACCTTCTTCTTGATTGAGCCTGCATCAACATGGGTTGTCACTTGTGGTAGTGATCAACCTGAGTGGACTATCCTATGAAGATGACATGAAGTTTTTCATCCCTCGCCCTTACGTCCTCGCTTCGGCCTCTCTCGTCTCGTCGCCTTCCAAGTTTATCTCGCTCTTCTCGCTCTTTTTCCTCGCCGTCCGTTGAGTTTTCTCGCCTCGTCAACATGCTGTTTCTCACTATTCGTTTACGGGGGGGTTGATTGTCAATATCAGCTCGTCAACGTAAAGGAAAACTTGTGGGATTTGTACCCCATACTGCATTTGGTCTTCTTGAGAGACTCTTGTGGTTTGCCTAAACGGCTGAAGTGTGTGGTTGACGCTGAGGTTGAGAAAGTTCTAAGATGACGAAGAGTCAGATATCATTTGAGTCCGGCAGGGCTTCTAAAGACCCTCCCGAGACTGAGATTGTGGGAGGAGATGAAGATGACAACCTTGATTTTGGCGGCATTGACCTCGCTCCTCGAGCGCCTGGCTCGACCAAGGCAGTTGCATTGAGCGAACCCCGGCGACTTAAGCAAGAGAGTGACAGGCGAGTAAGTACTGGAGACACAAGGTCGACGCGCTCCGAACCAGTTGGCATTACTGAGTCCGGCCGAGAAGGAGGTAAGAAATCAAATGTGGCG